AACAAGTGCAAGACTGTATTTTATAACTCCAAGCATTAGTGGACTAATTTGCACTTCAGTCATTACCAGTGCGCATATTTGTGATGTATTTCATGAAGTTCCTGAGACTCTGGTACTGTAGCTTGCCATAAAGCAACTGTGTTAAAGAGTGAGAATGAGTAGGCTGAACTCTGACTCCAACAGACCTGGATTTATATTGATTTATACCTGAAAACAAGTCAATGATTAAATTCACACTGAATATTTGGGGGAGGAGGTAAATAAATATTAAAGATTGAGCCAGACATTGTCAATTTCTTAACAACATTCAACATCAAAATTGTTGAGCATATGTATTGAAATAAAACAAAACACTCCATAAGGAGTTCTCCATGGACATGACCTTTAGCATCTAAATGACCAGCTGGAGTGCAATATGTTAGGCTATTCTGATGATAATTTTTAAATGGAAATTTAAGTCCATAAAGAAAATAATCATTCAGCTAGGCTGACACATATTGGCATGCTAAGATTGCTGCAGAAGTGCCTCATGACTATTCATTATATATAAAGTTTCATGGGATATTTGCATAAACCTTCACAAGGGTCTAACCCTGTTATTAGAAGTTCTCACCTGTCGCCTGCATCATCACTTAGTTATTTCAAATGCAGATGTAGAAACAAAGAGATCTTTTTTTTTTTTTTTTTTAACATGCAGAAACCACCAGAGGAACCTACAAATTCTAATGAAAGCTTTGGCTTGAATTCGCAGTTTTCACATGGTCTTATGATAGCTTTCTCTCTCAAGTGTGGCTTTACTCTGGCAAGGGAACAGTGAAGAAGATCAGTCCGTGGATGTTTATGAAGTGCTTTGAAGTAAAATGGTGCTCAGTATTCCTCTTAGCAATTTGGGAAGCTGTGTGCTAAGGTTTCAAGCCTTTAAAATACAACCCTTTAAAGCTAAGCAATTTCAACTTCCGCTACTGTCAATGGACAGACCTGATTTTAAAAATACGTTAACAATTTAATTTAAGAGAATATGGGCATCCATTTGGAGGCTGGGAACAGACATATTTCCTGTCAAATTTTAAAGGACCTTGATTGATCTCTTCAGTGTTTGTACAGTCAAAACTTGCACCTAAGTATGAAAAAACTGAAGAGCTAAGATGATCTTTAAAGATCCCTTCCAACCCAAACCATTCTATGATTCTATGAAATTCACCTTCCTCCTTTCCTTCCTTCAACCAGCCTTTGCCCCTGTCCTTCAAAGTCCTGAGATCCTCTGTCTTTACTGCTCTTTTCCTATATGTGGACTATCACCTTTCCTTCAGAGAACTTACTTATCTGGCCTATAGCCTATACTTCATCTTTAACACTCAAAAACCTCAATAGCCAAATGTATATTACGTGTTGGAGTTAGGAGTTCCTCCATACTGGCTGTAAGACTTCTGGATGCTAAAGAAAGGGCCTGGCATTTCTGGCTTTCTTTTTTTCTGAGCTAAAGAATCCCATAGAAGTGAAGGGAGTTTCACTTCAAATACAGCTAATGTTAAGCCCAGAGTTGCCTCTAGGCATTGAAAAGCTAAAAAAAATTAATGGTTGTCCCTCTTCTGTCCAAGTTCTTGAAAAACTGTTTTATTCTATATGAATTGGAGAGCTTCACTTAAAAATTTAAGTGCTTCCCCCATAGATATATCAAGCCAAGAGGAGCTTATGCAGTTTGAAGGGAAATCCTTGTAGCAATACTGCTAGTGTACTTAAATGTATTTAAAAAGGCTTTATGTGAAAGGACAACACATAAAAATTACAAAGGTTGAGATAGAAACAAATGTGCTAACCGTGCAGTTATTTTCCAATTTGATATGAAGGTAATTCTTAATCTATATTTCTCTCTATATAAATCAAAACAACCTGAAAAAGGTCCATGTTGATTGCTATAGTTTGATGAAGTCCAACTACTTAGATGTTATTTATATTATAATGACAATGAAGATTTCTTTGCAATGTAATCTACACAATTAGAATATGGAGAGTCATTATTAAGGCAACATCCCATTAAAAAGAATAAAAGAAGAAAAAGAGGGGGAGGTTATTCTGAGAACCTTAAAATGAATGCTCAGCTAGACTGTTACTGTCAATATTTCCCACAGTGTTGGGCCAGCATAAGGAAGATAGAATCTGGGTCTCATCATTTCACAGGAATGACATCTCATAGATTTTTATAAGACTCTGTAGAAGGTCTCTGCCATACCCCACAAAGAGTAAGTTTACAGACTTAATGCAACCGCATGTACAATCCAACTCCAATTATGAAATCAAACTCTGAGCCATGGAAGAATGTTATATGTATAGGAAGATGGAAGATGGAAACTTTTGTATATTTTTACCCATCATTCAGAGCACTGGTAGCAGTATAGAACGTGAAAGTGAACTTACTGAAAGGTCCACCAACTTCTGCAGTAATACAAAAGAGACCTTTTCACATTTTCCTTCTCTCATAGTCATGAAAACAGAAGGCTGAGAATGCTGCCTAATGTACAAGGCAAGGTAAGAAACCACCAATCTGAATGTAAGAACACCAACACTGGCATGTCAAACTCAGCATACTCAGGATTGAAAAAGTTGGTGTGTGAGAGCTTGAAATAAGCACATTTCTTGGTACCAACTGGATATGTATATACGCACACATACATTAGGCATGTATATTTGTGTAAACTAACCTCTGTCTTCATGTTTTTCAAAATTTTCTGTTAGCAGACTCCTGAACATTTCTAAAAGAGGAGCAGACCCTCACACAACACATTAAAGCTTGCTTATGCTTGGAGATTACTTTTCTTTCTTATTTTTCACATGCTCCTTAGAAGTCCGTGTCTGCAGCTCAAAACCACAGCACTGTATAACAGCTTAACCTACATGTCCCATTATATTCAGAATTCTGTAAACAATTTACCAAGGAAGAAGAAAACTGTGATATACAAGTGTAGCTGGCACTAAAATGTTGAAGTTGACTTCGCAAACAAGAAGCGGGAACCAGTTCTTGATTCCTGACAGAACCTATTTGTCAACTGGGAAAATCTGGCTTTTAGCTCTAAACTGGCAATTTATAAAAGGGGAAAAAAATAGTATCTACCTATTTAATTCAAGTACTGAGGTAATATTTAATGTTTAAAAAACTTGTCAGTATTGAAACACACCATGTAACTATTTCTATATAATTCCTATCCCTTTGAGGGACAGATGATTTTTAGGAGCAACATAACTTCCTAATTTCTGGTGATCTTAATCTCACCCTTTTGTATATTCCTTCTTTCTCCTTCCTATTTTAGAAACATACCTTCCTTATCAAATCTAGTTTTTTTGTTCTTTAACAGCCTTTACTAGACTGCTAGCAAGTCTCTTCTTGAACTAATTCTGTAGAGATTTTCTACTTTTCTTCTTCTGAAAAAAACCCCATTTTTACTTTTTGCATGTACAAATATTTCTCTGTGGTTGCAAGGTGTTTTGATTTTTTGGTGTTTTTTTTTTTTTAATTTTTAAATTCTCTTATTTCAAAAATCTCCACTATCTTGATCTTAATTTACTGATGAGAGGTTTAACACCCAAAATCACCTTTGACATTTTTTAGTAATTTTTTTGTCCAGAGGGCTGGTCACTTATGTTTTTAAACAAATTATGTTTGCATTAAAAAATTTGCTGCCTTCCAAAGATAATTGTGAAGAATTATTCACTTTCTCTTTTTTGAAAAAATTGCTGTGACACTGAAAATTTATCAAAATGTTATGAAAATGTATATAAAGTTATTGAAATTTGTCACTTAAAATCTGATAATTTTGATAAAAATTTTGATGAAAAATTGGAAATAAACTAAAAAAGCGAAAAATGTGTTATTTTCCAAACCCTTAAAAACAACTTGGATACCTTTGTATGAATACAGTTTTTAATGTTTCAAGCAGCTGTAACCATATAATAATTAGGACTGTATATAGCACTGTAAATGAGCATTAGGAGAGCATTGCAGAGGAGCCTAAGAAGACATTCTTATATTTTTAAGATTTCCACAATCCTTACCACTCTGTGTCTCCAGCCTATTTTAATCTGATTGTTTTTTGGAGGGGGTATAACTAGCTAGATTTTGAATTTCATATCAGATTAACAAATTTTAAAAAAATAATTAAAAAAAATTGTTGGGGTAAATGTGCTTAGATACAAATGGAAAAGTAAAAATTGTACCTCTGAGGTTATAACAAGCCGAATAATGATCCTCTGTAAATGTAAACAGAAGAAATGTTAACAGATACCACTGATATTTTAAAAGTAATCCAATAGATTTATCTTATTTTGGCAGATTCTAACTTGAACAACATCCTCCACAACTTAAAGTTGGGTTTTTTTAAAGACAAATATCGGGATTTCTTCATTCTATGTTAAATATTTCACTCCTTTGCATTATTTGAATGTCTGAATGTTACAAATTATTACCAGTAATGAAACCATCCAAATCTTTTTTTTCAACAAATGGAAACATTGAAACTTTCATAAATGTTTTTCTGACTTCTCAGTTCATCACAAAGGAGGTTGTAACCTGAGTTCATATATACTTTTTTCCTCTTGTGTTAATTACCCCAAAAATGCTACAAATATATAACTTTGTTAATACATAAATAAGCATTAAATCAAGGACAGGCAAGTTCCTCAGTTAATATTCAGAAGAAATGGGAATCATATTGGTCCAATCACATTTAGAGCATTAGCCTTCTTATTCTGATTCTGTACTTCAGAAGTGTCTCATGTCTTTATGTGGACAAACAGCATAGAAACTGAAAAGGAATATTTATTTCTTCCAAAAGCACCAATATTTGGAAGCTTGAATGCCTTAAAGCCGTAGCACTTTATTCTCTGAAACAGAAATGGAAATGGAGAAAGTCCCACCTGATCTCATTTCTAACACTGCGCTTTTTTGGCTAAAAGATTCTCCTCCACTTAATGGAAAGGTTTGCCTCTTTTACCCCATACTTCAGGCACTATTTGAAGTAGTTGAGTCCTGCCACGAGGAAAAACTTCTCCAGGAAAAGTTCAGAGTCCAGCACGGCAATGTGGGCAGCCCGGCCTATCAATGTGTTGGCGGTGTTTGGCAGAGCATGGAACACGTTGTGTCTGATCAAAGTGCAGTCCTTCGCCCCAATCAAAGGCTGGAGCAGGTTGTTAATCATTTCTGCATAAACAGGACCTGCAAAAGAGTTTAGATGTCACACCTACATACCAAAGCTTCCAGATCTCCTCTTTCCTTACAGTATCATTTAATTACAGTCGCAATGAGAAGGAAAATGGAAGCAAGTCCAAAATGTAAGAGATGGCAGCCCATTTCAAAGATTCTCTAAGTGCCAGGATGTTGTTTAATCTAATGGAGGCACTGGCCATCAAAGAGGTCTGCTGGAGCTGCTAGCATGAGGAGTGGGACACACCTCAGAATTTAGTCTCATTTCCTCTGTGGTGGAAGGAAATGCTCTTGTTTCCTTCAAGGGAAAAGGGTTGGACTCCTGCTGCCTGTGAATTCAAATGCAAAAGGATCTGGCAAGACATAGAGGTCCATTTGTGTTTCTCTGGGGATTCTAATGCAGGAAGGACATAATGCAGATAGTTGAGGAGTTTATAGGGCAAAAACAATGGCTCGGGGTATGAAATGACACTAAGCATATTTTCTGTAAGTGGTATCAAACTGAAGCCATGAAACATTTTATAAATGAGGGAGGCTACTAATAACAAAGACACTACTAGGACAATACGCAGTTTGAGCTTACAGGAGGGTTAGACCTCTGGTGGCATAAGTCCTGATGTGCTTTGCAGATTTTATTACAAACCAGTATGATTTTAGATCTGTCCCTTAAATTACCTGGCATTCTTCAAAACACTATTGAAAACAAAGGGAAACTGACTTGGGATGCAATGAGAGAGATTTCATGATGTGAAACAAAGGTAAGACAATATTACTAAATCAGTAGACTATGGAAAAAGACCATGAAGTGCTAGTTCTAGTCTCATCACTAGAAAAAAAAAATAGAGGGAAGGGGAAGAAGCAGTGAGAAACCTTTGATTATGACCTGATTGAAATTTGTTTTCATCAGACAAAGAGCTTCTTAAAGAGCTTCTTTTATTGATTTCAGTGATTTCCTGTGGGAAGAGAACACTTTCTTATCAAATAAATATTTGAGTTTTCATCATGCTGATGAAAAACCCTTCTAATGCAATGACCTCAGTTATACAAAAACACAATTCCTTCAACAGCTTTGCAAATGTAGAAAAGGATCTTAAACATACCTGTGTGTCTGTCCTTAAGTGCATTTTTGCACATTTCTATTCTTGCTGAATGAAAGGGTACATATCTGTCTTGGGGTGAGGCCACTAACACAACATTTTTAAAGTATTGAAGACCTGTGGCAAATGCATTAAATACATTTATGACAATGATGCACAGTGATGCAAATATATGCAGTGTCAGTATGACTACTTCATGTTTCAAACACATTTGAAAATCTAGAGTGCAAAATAGATTATAATAATTAAAACATGAAACACAAGCTTAGAAATATTCATAATAGCTTAAACAAATTTCTATTGCTTGTCTGAACTTTTTGTTACTCATCAGCATTCATACAGGCTAATTGTATGTCAACGAAAATAGTAAGAACTGTCTCTGTTCGAAAAAAGTGTTTGCTTAAAACCCTAATCTTGCAAACATTTATGCCTCTAAACATTGGAAACACAAGTAAAGCTCCACTACAATCAATGCGTGGTTTTAGATAAATAACTGTTCACAGGACTGGGGGTCACATTCAAAAATAAGACAGCAAATTATTACAATTTTAAAACAAAATAGGGAGAGGGAGGAGAAGAGGAACGAGCTTCACTGCTATGATGTCATAACTATTACATCAGTGTTGAGGGAGCCTTGGGATCCAGTCCCTGTATTCAGCAGTCCCTTGATAAATGCACACTGCTGGTACGTGGACTGGAAACCAGGAATTCTCCCTCTTCCCTGGAGGCAGTGGGGCCAGTGATGGACTGTGGAAACAGGCCGCCGCTGTTTACCCTGTCTGCAGTCTCTTGAGCCCTCCATCACTCACATTCAGCAGAAAAGCAGGAAAATGGACACAGATGATCTAAGTCTAATAGTCCAGAGAGTACTGAACACAGAAGAGCTGTGGGCTTGATCTTCTTTCACTCTCCTTTATGGAAAAGGGTCCCAGAAGCAAGTCCTTTGATTTCTAGATTTTCATAGAAAAGTTGACCACCACTGCTGGTTGCCCTTACTAAGCCTGGCTGAAGCTATCTATCATTTTCTTCTTATGCTGTCAAACCAAATGAGTTTATGAATTTGGTCTGAAGTAAAATGTAGGAAAAGCAACAGTGAGTATTATCATGTCTAAAATCTTATGTGAAGAGGCTCCTTATGCTTGTTCTTTCAGTACAAGCACAAGGAACATTTAAAGAGATTGAAATGTACAAAGGACTTCTACTTTAAAAAGAAAGTCAGAAATTGCTGGAGGCTTAAAGAGTTATCTGGGAAAGTAGGTACAACAATGCTTGTGATGGTAGACCCTCTGTAGGTTCTCTCAACTACTTTTGGGAGCAGGAGCAGGGTGCTAGAGTAGGAGCATCTCTATTTTTAGTCAGCATGCCAGCTTCTTTGTTCATGTCTGGATCTAATGACTTCTTCAGATTTTTTACCTAAGCCTCTACTTTGACGATTCTAACTTTACAGAAAACCCTCTTCACAATTAAATTTCTGCTTTCTGCTTTTGCAGGGACACCTGAATTTACAGCCTGTAAGATCTTCAGTCTACCAAGCTAACAAACAATGAATAGCTTTGACTCACAACACATGCTTGGGAATACTTGGCTTGGGAAGTTATAGTGTGAGCTTTCTGTGTAGATTTAATTTTATTTGAAGATGACAGTAGTAAAGCAGACATCAACTGTAGTCCACAGCAATGAGAGCCAGGGTATCAAAGGAAAAATTCAAATAAGGAAATTCATATAATGCCAAGATACAGCAGCTTCCCATCATTGACTAAATCATGTAGTGTGTTAATAAAATTATGAAACAGCTCTATGTCTGTCAGACTAAGAATTAAGAAGCTATATTCACCTTAACATAGTCTTTGTTTCCTACTAGCAATGTGTCAAAGTATAAGAAAGAAATTAAATAACAAGTAGTGACCTTGTGACTACCTACTTATCGCCAGGTTGCTCACACACAATATTAAAAATAATTAAAAAAAACCCCCCATTTGTTTGAACAGTAGGATCATGTTTGCTGTCTTTTCTTAAGAAAAGCCTGATTTATTTCATTTATTCATGACAGACCAAAGAAAGGGTAAAAGATCTCTATTTAGACATAATTTTTCCAGTGTGAGGCCATACATCTCTCTGTAGTACGAAGGTGTCACGATAGACATGAATAAAATTTACTTTTCATCTCACAGAGTCATATTTCCTAGAGACAAGAGATGTTAAACATAAAAAAAAAAAAGAAAAAAGAAAAATGGTTTTCATCTAGTAACATAAATTAAGCTATGGTGGCCTGTCAAGAATGATATTTCTTGCTTGCAGAATATAAACTTAGGTACATGTTTACTACGGCATAGAGGTCTTATTTGATGATAACAGTTTTGCAAATATATTCAATGATAATTGGCGCAGAAAAAATGCACAGATAAAATAGATAATAGATTATAGACAAAGCAGCCCTCCTCAACAGAAAAAGTGTCTACAGAAAGATCATTAACCAAATGCAGATTTACTTTACTCCCTGGAGGACATTGCAATCCAACACAGTCCTTTGGAATGGCCCTTGATATTTACACAGCTACATCAAGCCTTACTTACCCGTTTTTTGACTGAGTTGGTAGAGGAAACACTTGCGCAGATCCGCATTGTCCCTGAAGGTCAGTTGCAAAAGTGACCCTGACTTTTTCAACTTCTGCATGAGCCATAGACCTGGAATGAAAATCAGTGCATATTTTTACTCTGTTTGCAAATTAACAACCAGGGGGATTGAAGATGGAAGATGTGTGCCTACAGTAAGAGTAGCACTGTAACTCAATATAGGTTTTTGTTTCCTCTAGTGTTGCTAATCAACAGCAAAAAAAATCTAAGGGTCTCACTGGATAGAAGTAATTTTTAAACTAAAAGACTGTAGTTTTAGACTAGATATAAGGAAGATTTTTTTATTTTTTTTTTAATGAGGGTGGTGAAATACTGGAACAGGTTGCCCTGAGAGGTGGTAAATGCTCCATCCCCGGAAACATTCAGAGTCGGGATGGACGGGACTCTGAGCAAACTGATCTAGTTGAAAATGTTCCTGATCATTGCAAGGGAGTTGGACTAGATCACAGAATCACAGAATGTTAGGGATTGAAAGAGACCTCGAAAAATCATCTAGTCCAACCACCCTTCCAGAGCAGGATCACCTACAGTAAGTCACACAGGAATGCATCCAGAAGGGTTCTGAATGTCTCCAGAAAAGGAGACTCCACAACTTCTCTAGGCAGCCTGTCCCAGTGTCCTGTCCCTCTCACAGTGAAAAAGTTTTTCCTTATGTTTAAGCGGCACCTCCTACGCTCCAGCTTGCACCCATTGCCCCTTGTCCTACCATTGGACATCACCGAGAAGAACCTGACTCCATCCTCCTGCCATTCATCCTTTACATATTTGTAAACATTAATGAGGTCACCCCTCAGTCTCCTCTTCTCCACACTAAGAGACCCAGCTCCCTCAGCCTTTCCTCAAAAGGAAGATGCTCCACTCCCTTCATCATCTTGGTGGCTCTGCACTGGACTCTTCCAAGTAGTTCCCTGTCCTTCTTGAACCGTAGGGCCCAGAACTGGATACTATATTCCAGATGTGGCCTCACCAGGGCAGAGTAGAGAGGGAGGAGAACTTCTCTTGACCTACTAACCACACCCCTTCTAATGCAAACCAGAATGCCATTGGCCTTCTTGGCCACAAGGGCACAGTACTGGCTCACGGTCATCCTGCTGTCCACCAGGACTCCCAGATCCATTTCCCCTACACTGTTCTCCAACAGGTCTGTCCCTAACCTAGACTGGTACATTGGGTTGTTCTTTCCCAGATGCAAGACTCTACATTGCCCTTGTTGTATTTCATTAAATTTCTCCCCACTCAACTCTCCAGCCTGTCATGGTCTTGCTGAATGGCAGCACAGACTTCTGGTGTGTCAGTCACTCCTCCCAGCTTTGTATCATCAGCAAACTTGCTGACAGTGCACTCTCTTCCCTCATCCAGGTCATTGATGAATATACTGGTCCCTTCCAACTCAAACTAGTTTGTGATTCTATGATTGTCCTTGTCATGGTAGCATAAATACTCAGGAAGGGTGAACTGTGGGACATTTAATTCCCATAGTACTGTAAGTGTCTTCTTCAGCCTTGGAAATGCCTGTCTTTATTGGCAGTATACAGAGAAAGAGAAGAGTACGTGGAAGGAAGGTCATCCATCTCTCACTGCTCCACACTCTTGGATTTTCTACGGAGCACTGTGCTGGACTTTGTAGTAGGTACTGACAGCCCCTCATTGAAATTTTTTCTGTGTGGATTTGAAGTCTTCCACAAATATTTTCCACAACTGCGGTATACAAGTCATGTTAGACTTTATTACTACCTCCACGGACTGCAGCTAGTCATAGCTTTCCCATCAACTCTTACCTGTACTAACCAAAGTACTGTTGTTATAAAGGGTTCCCAGGTGAGGCCCAGAGAGGGACAGGAAGGTGTGCAACTTGTTGAGGTAATAGCGAAACCTGGGGCGAGTTAGTACAGATCGAATGATGACATTACCAAGGGAATGTCCAATAAAACTGTTGGAAAAGAAATAATTACATTAACACAAAAACCATCTGTATTTTACTTTAATTAAACATAAAAGTGGCATAAATTGCTCTTGCGGAGAGTCTCTCAGGGCTTTCAGTAACATCCTTTAATTAACATTTCACATTTTTTTTAGCCTAGTAGACACTCTTCTATCTATAACAATGTAAAAATTCGTTTCACTGATTCAAGAGCTTTTGACACAGGACACTTTTGGAAAAGTTAATTTCACCAAATGTTCTTTATTTAACTCAAACAGTTACAGACTATTAACTATCAGAATGCTTACCTTATTCGGGATATGGAGAGGTTGTACAACTGGATATGCTGAATGATTTCATCCAATAATCGGTCAGTCATTGTATCAAAATCAGCAAAAGTATCAGTCTGGTGAAAAATGGAATGAGTCAGTGAATTAAAATATATTGCACTTATTGCAGACTGATGTTATTTTCAAAGTAAGATGCAAGCAGAAATGTAATAACCAGTCCAAAATTTCTTTAAACACACTCAAGGCAGGGTCAGGGATTTTCTCAGTCTCTAGGTCATATAGAAATTGAAATTCTCCTTTGAAAACAGAGTCATGAAGTTTTACTTTCACTTTATTAGCAATTAGCTTCCAACTAATATTGCAAACTTACTAAAGACAAGTAATTTCTTTCTCACTTATCATCAACAGTAACAATACCATGGGTCAATGTGGGTCACATATCTGTTTTTAAAGACCACACAGAAATTCAATGTCCTCAGTGAGCTTGTAAGTAAGGCAAAATTTTCTTTCAAAGAGGCTCTTTGACTCTATATTGTACCTTTTAGCTTCAAGAACACAACCTGAGAATTCAAGATAGGACTAAAGTGACCTTGCACTTCGTAGGGCATGGAAATAGGGCTCTCTAGAACACAATTAATATTTTTAAAGTGATGACTTGTCTTTTTCTACAGACTAAGCCTCTAACTTTGGCACATGTCATGATAAGATAAACCCAGATCTACAATTTATTAATAAGTTTAACAATATTAGGGGAGTGATTCCAAAGTCATAAGTATGACCTTAAAGCAGCCTGACTTGACACTGGTGAGAACTGCTAATGTTCATCCATTCTAGATACCATACTCTACACATTAAGAAAAGCTTTTGACATGTAGGATTTAACAGATTACTACTGTGAAATAGTTTACATTATTATACACTTGACACTCGAGTTGTGCTGATGCTAAAGATGTAATCACAAAATTATTTGCCCACCACTGCATGTTTGTTATTCAACTGTTATCCGTAAGACAATGAATGTTAGAAAGAAACAAAATTTTGATGCTTGCAACAGTACTGCCAGTTGTGATACAATAAAACAAATAATATGTTGTCCGGTCTATACAACTGCAGGCAGATCTTATTCAGAACTTTGTCATTTGGCAATCCAACAGGACTCTAAATCAAATTCATAACTAATGAGATGCCACAAAAGCAATCATCAAATGTTGGAACAGCGATTCAGAGCAAACATATCAGTAATTAATGCTTTTGTGACACAACTCATTTTGCTAATTGCAGCTCTTGCAAAGGAAAACATGAGCATATTCACTTCAAAATACAGCCTTAAAATAAACGTTCTCATAAACTACAGTCCACTAAACTTCTGCCTGTTTGATTTGTCTGTGTTGATAATTAATGATTTCCTGCTGGGCTCAGTATCCCAAATCTTTCATGTTTAAAAGTGGAAGAATATCAGCCTGATCATTAATCATAAACAAAATGCATCAAGTGTCACATTTCGCCTGGTTATATCTCCGTCCTTGAGTATCATCTCAACCCGATTGAGCTTGTCAAATATATCACAAATGAATGCCTAAAAAAAGTGAATTGCATTCTCTTCTATAATGCAGACTACAGCTAAATGAATTATTTCTTGGGTCATTTTCAGTGTGGTTGTCAGAACAGGGAAAACAGGGTGACAAAATGCTTTACAGGAACCAAATAGTTATTAAACTAGATGGGTTCTATTTCCAGTGCCATGGGAACTTCCTCACCTTCCCAGACTACAAAAGCACTAAAAATTCCCATTATGGGCTCTGAATAATGTTAAACAGAAATGTTGTAAGATGTTTCATTCTCTGAAAACATTAGAAGAGCCTTTTAAGCAAGTCTGAAGTGGTCTCCTCATTATTTTCATCTTGCTTACGTTCACAGTGCAGGTCTGCTGCTGACAGATGTACATTGGAAGGTGGAAGGGTAACAGCCTAACACCAACTGGTCACTTCAAAATATAAAAGCTGTTGACCAAAGCAGGTTAGAAAGTTTTGACTCAAGTTTCTCGGCTACTCATAAATCAGAACAGTGCTTCTGACTGGGCACTGGAAATCCTTATCTTGTGCACACAGTCAGGCCTCTGTGTCATAAATATGCGCTCATTGCAGAGAAAAGCACAGAATTAATCTCTGTTTCTCTGCCTAGACTAGCAATGAATTTTTCTGGAAGACATTTCTTTATCATTCAAGGAAATAAATCTCACAAGTATTGCAACAGGAGAAACAACAGCAAAGGAAGCTGACAACACCTGCTGGATATTCCACATCCTCCAGAGAATTTAGCATCACTAAATTTGCTGCTTTCTGCTGGTGCTGTGTTGCCTGGCATCCAACAGGCAAAGGTGTGAGGCTGGTTAAGTTTGCAAACTGACAGGATAGATCAATTTTCTTCTTCTAAGGTCTAGCCCTATAAGTGGAATGTCATTGCCTGTGACTTTAATGCTAGGAATATTTTCTGATGGGTTTGAACACCCTATCAAATTAGACAGGACCAGGCCTTTGCACTAAATGCTACATAAAATTTCCTTGAATTCCCCAGTGCTTTTGCTTCATTCAGCTGGTAAAAAGGCTTTGCTGCAGGATTGTGATGGTGTGCTCCCCCTACCCCCACCACTTGATTTCCTGTAACCCTGTTCAAGCGATAACCACCAGTGGTGACCACAATGGATGCTCTCTGGTCGTGATATCTGCATCCAGCTCAGGGAAGATGGGTAAAAGCACAATAGCCAAGGGCTATCTTGTGTAACTTGCTCCAACAATGGAGGGCTTGCTGAGCATTCAACAAACAAAATATGGCTGGCATGCAAATATGACTACAGGTCAGTCGTCTTCCTCCATCAACAGTGGACAGCCCAGGGCCCATTGAGCATTCCTGAAACAACAGCAGGCTGCATGCCAGGATCTCCCCTTGAATCAGGAACGTCTCTTGAGGTTTCTCCTTGAGGTTGAGAGATTCCTTGACATGACAGATCCTCAGTAAGTGACTAATAGCTGCTAAACTATAAAGTCTTAGCTAAGAGATGCAAAGGATTGATTGTGCATATATAATCCTTTAGACATAAACCATTGATCAAGTCTGGGACTAGGATTGGCTCTAGTCACACCTAGACTCCTCTCAGAGAAGGAGTTTAGAGAGCAAGGGGGCCCTTTCCAAAACCTTGTGACTCAAAGGGAAGGTCTCCTTGACAGTTTTGTCTGACCCTGTCCTCTGTGTGGTAAATAATCAAGTGAACCTCGCCATCGAATTCTGTTAAATGAATGTCACATTAACCTTTGAACTTTGTGAGTTCACTTTTATATCAATAAAAATAGTTACAACTTTCTTACGAATGAAGTGCATAACTCCCTCTGATGCTCTCTATCTGTGACAAGGCCCTATTTCAGCAATGTCAACAGCCTGTAGCAGATCTAAAGAAAGAAAGAAATTAACTCTCTACTACCTGATTTCTTTCAGACATTAGGAAGTCCAGTTTTCCACCAGGGAGTCCCAGTTCTATAAAAGTCTTTACCAGCCGCAGATCTGCACTGTTACCTAGAAATAAATGGTACTTTATAAGATGTAATTCAACAGAAAAATAACTAATATTGAGTCAATTTAATACCTTTGTCTTCCTATAAACCTTGAGACCAGGGAGCTCTTGCTAAGTGCTGCTAAGACAGATCACCACACCATTGGACCATGCATTGAAACAGCAGGAGAGCAAGAGTAGCCACAGCCTGCACAAGGTGGGGCTGGACCTCACCTCTTGCTGCTGGGGATTGCATAAATGGTGCAGAAGAAAGGACAAAGATCAAACCCAGAATAACTCTGTACCCTATTTGCTGAGCAGCAGAGATAAGACAAAAAGACAAAAAGCTGAAGTCTGTCCTTCCACCTTCACATCTGCTGAGGGGACACTGCAGCCCTGTCAGGGATCTCAGCACATGTGCCAAGTTTTAGGACTGTACCTTCAGAAGCAGAGCAGCCTGCCTCTGTGTATTCACAATTAGAGACAGTGTTGAAATACTGTTCAGACTCCTAATATTTTGGGAGATATCCCATTCCATACTAGGAAATTCCAAAATCTTCTGAAATGTTTTGTTGGAAAAGGAGGTATCTTCACCTCATGAGAAGGACACTACTGCCACTGAGATATTGAATAGCAAATGCTCCTTGCTCAAGTCAGCATTTGTTTTCCACCTGAGAATGCCTGAGATTTCAGAGTCTCTACCCCTCCTTCTCTGTAGTTTCAAGGTTAACATCGACAACTTTCTCATTGATATCAATAATTTGTCAAGAGAAGTTTCAAGTTGAACATATCTGTTTTCTGCTTAGCAAGTATATATGTAAAAAATTCCAGGCCATGTTTCCTGTACAGTGAATAATGGTTTTTATTCTCTCACTTTCTAAAGTAGGCCACTATCTACCCTGTATACAATGTTGGGGGATGTTTTCGTTCTGGTGACATACTGCAAAACAACCAAGCATCTGCAGAAAGACAAGAAGAGTTACTGTAATGAACTCCTCCTGTACACAGGACTGATGTACTTTCGTGTAGAACTCCATTTAAAAAACAACAAAAATGTTGAGCAAATATTTAATATTCTCCTAGATCCTTTATTGCAATGGATTGAATAACTGACTAACATAATAAGGACTAAATATTTAGCTAAGATAAATACTTTCCTCAGACTCTCCACTCTTTCATCCTTGCTGAACATCTACCCTTTTTTTATACCATTTTGTTTACACCAAAATGACTTACAAACAACAATTCCTCCTGGCCTTACCATCCAATCCATGGACACAGACAACCAGGTGAATTCCATCTTCCAAATTTTCTTCCTCTTCCTCTGGTGGAAAATATGGGATATCAGAGGCTAGTACAGATAAGTCACTGTACAGAAATCCTTCAATCTTCATTTCTTTTTTAAATTTTTCTTTGGCCTGATAAAAACTGAAGAATGCATTCATTAATCACAATAGAACTGCTTGTTCAACAACAAACCTTCCAACTAGAAATGAGGAGGCTGGTATATGCAAGAAGTTACTTATGCAGCTTTCGAATAGAGTCCTGGATACTATTCCTTATGAATAGTGATTGAAAGAAATCAGGATGCAGGGAAGAAAATCTGTTTCTGAGTGATTTGGCTACACACAGAGTATAGCTAAAGTCCATTAGCAGCCCACACCTGTCAGAGGAATGAAGGATTTGAAAAAAATAATTTTCAGATGGTCATAACAATGAGACTAAGAAACAAAAGTAGTAATTTTGCATCTTAACAATGCCATCAGCCTTACAGATACTGAAATGCAAAATGTATCATTTTTCTAGCTTCAGATGCATTTATAGGAAGCTAGAAGGTGTTCTCCCCATTTCTCAGACTGTAGAGTTAAAGGATACACCTCATATGGTAGATATTTTTGGTTTGGTTTGGTTTCAGGTTCTTTTGAAAACATTTAGTAGTGAGGAAGAACAGTTCAGTGCTGAAAGAATTAAGTCAACCTCTTTCCTATTCAAGGTTTAAAATTGGAAAAACAAATTTACCCCGAAGCATTCTGCTGGCTTCTTCAAACTCTTCAGTAGTTTTTTGACTTAGCAAAACTTATCCAGAGCTTTTAGGAATTAATAATCACAACAGAAAACTGAGATGGATCAGGTTAGGAGATATAAACCCCTTATCTGGGGATAGCTTAAGGCCCTTTGATATAATGGTAAGCGATTATTTACATCAGGCCTACTGACTTTAAAGGGATACAAGAATTAAAAATCTAGCATTCAGGCTGTGGACCTGGAGGCCCTGGATTCATGTGCATGAATATATGCTTAAATATTTATTTAGCTTCACAAAAAAAAAAAAAAAAAAAAAAAAAAAAAAAAGATTAAGCAAGACTTACAGCAGGGTCTATAAAACAAACCTCAAGATCTTTCAAAAAAAAAAATAAAAGTAAGCTTTGGGTCACAAGTGAATGTATGCGCAGAAAGCCAACATTTTGGACAGCTGAATGGATTGAGAAATTCCCATGCTACTGTTTTCCCAGCAGAGACACCAAAGTGTAACAGTATACATCTGCTAGTGAGTCAATCTGTGAAATGGGCCACTGGGACATCAAGGCCACAATGTGGCACTTTTGCCATGGGCAATGAAGCAAGAAAATAAATAATGCCTCTCCTTCAGATACCCAGAATGCCAATTGTCCCATTTTTTTGCAGTTTGAGAACCTGAAGCTGAGACCTTAACAACCAGTCTGTACTCCTGTTTCATAGTTCAGTGAATGACTGCAATTATTTAAGCAGAAGAGAAAAACAAGCAATGGCACAGCCATAGTGAACTGACTATCTGGGATCAACACTCAAGTCTGGGTAAAACTGACTTCATGAAGAAGGGACAGATCTTAAAGATTATTTAAGCCGCCTATATCTCACTGTTTTTCATGAGGATTAAGGACATTGTCAAAGACATCTGTTGAATCTATCTAAACAGACTTCCTGTATATTTAGATTATTTATTCTATACAACATATTTGTCTATTTGGATTATTCATACTGTAATTCCTCAGGCAGGAATTACATTCCTCAGTCTCTGAACGCAAGCTTACAGTATGCCTACTTGTCTTGGTTTTTTGCCTAGGATAGAGTTAATTTTCTTAGTAGTTAGAAACTATGACACTACTGTATTAGGGCTTTGAAATTTGTCAGGGTGTCTTGGCATTACAGTAACATTAATGAAGAAAATTAATAAACATTCTTACTTTAGCATCCTTTCATTGGTCTCTTCATCCATCTCATTTGAATTACAAGACACAACTCCGAAAGAGCCCAGAGGCTGGCGTGTGATGGGGAATGCAGCCTGCTTTGCAGAGGAGCCAGCCATAGCAGGGGTCTCTTTGAGCACAGAAGAAAAGGGAAGACATGTGGCTGTGCAAGAGACAGACAGGTTAACCACATCAACAGCCTTTCTGCTTTCCAGGGCTACTCCCTCTGTTGTCACCAAATGAAACCCAGTGCCATTAGCCACAAGTTTATGCTCTTGGCTGTCAGGTTCCTGAGGATATTCAGCCTGGTAGGATCCTGCAGCAGGGTCCACTGAGGCAGGTGAGTCGTTGAGCTCAATTTCTTGTAACCCCTGCATTTCTGCATACATGGATGGGCTCTCATCAGCAAGAGAGCTACCACACTCTCCTTGCATTGACCCAAATTCAGTTGAGGTTTCTGAAGGAGCTGGAACAGGATAGCAAAAATCTGGTACCAGCTTTATGCTTTGTGAGAAACTCTCCTCTCCTGAAATGCTGCTATTGGAGTAAAAGCCTTGTTGTATTTTTAAACTGTCCAGCTTAAGTTTATCCTTTGGATCCTCAGTGCATGTATCAAAATCATCTATATTTTTGTCCAAGTAATTATAAGCCCTTGGTGTTTTTAAGCTGCAATCACCATTGCTCTCCAGTGACTGACACTCAGAGACATTATCTCGGAGCTGCTTTTGACAAACGGGTGGTCTTGCATTTTCCAAATTACAGTAAGTCTCCTCCTCCCCTGGTAACTCAGTGTTACTGCTACTGTGTTTGATAGAAGGTTTGGGATGTCCTCTTGGTTCTAGTTGTCCACTTTCAGTGGTGATCTGACACTCAGAAAAGTCCACAATTAATTTTCCATCCCCACCCTCTGTTTCTGTGCAACTTTTAAAGTTTCCTCCTGAATCTCCTGAGGTTGCTTCACTGTGTTTGGATATATCCACCTCCTCTGCAGGCTCTTCTGGGCTACTGATCTGAGGAGCTGAAACAGATTTTGTCAGTTTAGTAAGCTCCACTTCCCTCTCCTCTTCCTCAAAGGGCAAAGAGCTGATGGATGTGAGCGACGCTTGAATTCCACTGGGCAAGCTGGTATTGCTTTCTGTGTGGCCACCCTCCAGGGAATTTCGGTGGATGGCATGCCTTCGTACCAAGTGGTGCAGGATCTCTCGATCACTGGGCAGCTCCAGTGCCCGGCTACGAGCATCAGACCACGCCACCGAACTCGGTTCGCTTTCAATGCCTGAATCAGATATTATAGAGGAGGATCTTTTTATAACCCCTGACATCAGGGTAAAGTCTTCACACTCCTCACCTCGTTGCTCCTTTGTGAGCAATTTCACTTCAAAGTTGTGTGTGGGCAAAGCTTTCAAAACAGGGAGCGGAGCCTTGGTGTCTGGATCTCCTGTTTTTTCAAGACTGGTTAATTCATTCAGTGCGAGCTCAGATGAAGTGAAATTATTCCCAAGATTACTAGATTCATCTGTTTCATGTATTTCAGTCCTGTCTTCTGAGTCATCAGTTCCACATGCTCCACACTCATACTGAGCACTGACAACTAACACGGGATCACTTTTGTGGGAATCCTTATTGCTAGGTTTTGTACTTCCATAGGCAACATCCACCATAAGTCTACTGTCTTTTAACAAATTTTCCATGGGTGTTTTAAAGTCTTCTGATGTGCATTCTGTATTGCCTGGCTCTGAGTCAGAAGTAGTTTCCATACTTGAAACAAAAATATTTTCAGGTATCCTTTGGCCTTCTTTGTTCACTGTACATACCTGAGATGGGGAGTGCTGGTTTAAACTTCTAGCTGTTTCAGCAGCACCTTCAGTACCACTGCATATGCAGGAGGGATTCCCATTAATCCTATCTGTGTGTATTAGCAAAGTACTTTTCCCAAAGTCTTCTTTCACTACTGCAGTGGCATCATTTGATGCAAGATCTTTGTTGTCATGAATTACATCCATTTGAGTATTTTCAGGAACCTCAAAATCTGGGAAAACTTCCAAATTCTGATCTGAAAAAAAAGAAAGAAAAAATGTAGTACCTTCAAGAACATAACAAATTACACCAAGTTGATGTGGGACTTTGAAAAGTGATTGTAAGTTCTAAAAAAAGTATGTATATTTATATTATAAAAATTATATATACATCAGAGGCATATTAAAAACGCAAATGCCAGAGTGCATCGAACTAGAACAATACTCACTAAACAGTTACAGTTAGACCAAAGAAGATAATAAAATATACTTTCATCGGTATAATTGTATCAGAACTCTAGTTTTTACAGCACAGGTAAGCAAAACAAAGCTGACATTTCTTTGTACTCCTGCTGCCATACGATGCTGTTCATAGTAACTGCTTGAGAGAGTCCAGCACAGAGCCACGAAGATGATTAAGGGAGTGGAGCATCTCCCTCATGCTGAAAGGCTGAGGGAGCTGGGTCTCTTTAGTTTGGAGGAGACTGAGGGGTGACCCCATTAATGTTTACAAATATGTTAAGGGTGAATGTCAGGAGGATGGAACCAGGCTCTTCTCAGTGATGCCCAATGGTAGGACAAGGGGCAATGGGTGTGAGCTGGAACACAGGAGGTTCTGCTTAAACTTGAGAAAAAACTTCTTTACAGTGAGGGTGACAGAGCACTGGGACAGGCTGCCCAGGGAGGGTGTGGAGTCTCCTTCTCTGGAGACATTCAAAACCCACCTGGATGCCTTTCTATGTGATCTCATTTAGGTTCCTGCTCCGGCAGGGGGATTGGACTAGATGATCTTTCAAGGTCCCTTTCTATCCCTAACATTCTGTATGATTCTGTGTGATAGCTCTTGGTTGTGAGTCAGTTTAATACTCGGTTTAATAGTTTAAGTATCTGTAATGGGCATTGTAAAGATTTAGGCAGTTGGATAACTCTGGAAGAGTGGAAATTTTGGACCACAGGTCATATTTACTAGGCTATGGTCACCTATAACATTAATGCATACTGCTTCCTTGCTGATCTTTGTAGTTGAGTAAAAAGGAAAGGAAACCAAGGTCTATGAGATTTTATTACAAATCTGAAGAACTAAATAATTTCTCAATGAAAAGTTTCATATGGGTACTCAAGGGAAAAATATTTTTTTGGAAAGCAACACTGCCTTTCAGCAACAGTGTTGGGCTTCATGTTGAAATTGTGGGTTTTGCTCTGCGTTTTCTTACCACTAGATGTCACACTGGGGATGAAATTCATAGAGCTGTTTTTCATTTCAATTTGTACTGTAACAAAAATCCAAAAGATTTCACTTCCTTTCTAGAACTTGCCTACAGCTCTTATAAATAAACCCCTTACTTTGAAGATTAAAAATATGAAGCTACAGGAAATACTATAGTTTGCTTGTAGGAAAAACAGAAGAATTTGGCCATATTGCGTAATAGATCACACTCTGATTCAAGCCAGTCAGTCCTAGGGATATGAGGTTGCTTACTTTGGGCTGGGGAAGTAAATCTCCCTCAGCTCAAGCTGTCTCACGAAGCTCTACCTTGTGGTGTTTCACTCACCTTTGCAAGGCATATCCATGTACCTATCTTCAAAGATAACTGGGAGGGTGTTCCAATCCCCATCTATGTCGAGGCATTCTGCTGGAAGTGGGGGCATGCTGGTGAAGTACTCTGAATTACGAATTTCTGTAGAAATCTGTCCATGACTTTGGATCCTGGCAGCAAAGCACAAAAGAAACCAAAAAAGAGTGTTTGAGTAGTTACTGTGCTGTTCCTCCATCACTCCTGCAAGCCCAGCAGCAGAGCTGTTTGCGTAGGTAGAGGACAGAGGCAACGTGTTGAAAAGGAAAGGAGGCAGTACTGCACGATGAGGAGGTACCCAGTGCTCCTAGGAGGTGTTTCCCAGGAGTTGATATCTATCTCTCAGTTAGACACCCACAACTTGCACACTCCCTCACTGCAAAACTTCTGTCTTTTTTAAATTGTTCCAGCTACCATAACTTGTTTCTGTCCCCCTGGGGGTCACTGCAGCTGGCTGAGACTGGATTCCTCAGCTGGCTTTTCAGTCAGGAAAAGAGATCCGTCATTCTGACTGTGGCAGGGGTTTCAAAACCCAGATGCAGGAAGCAATAATCAAAAATCTGGTTGAGCAGTACAGGGAGGAACAAGGCCAAGAAGGATACATGGCAGGGCTTCTGTCTTGCTTATACCAGTTCTCAGAGCACTGTGAAATCTCACATGCATCCGGAAAAGCTAAGACACATCTATTCAGCCACTGCCCATTTCCATCTTTTGCACCATGTAAAATGCTACTTGGCTTTCATCAGTGAACGTGGCATTAAACTGGTACATGAGCATGGGTTCAGCTATAATAAATACAATAATTTTATTTCTGATAAACTTTCCTTTGTAAGTATCTTCCTCAAAAAAAAACCTGGGAAAACTTCAAATATAAAGTTTGTTCATTTGTGTTGAATCTTTGATGAATTAGTCTGTTTATCCTAAGGAATAAAGGGGAGGGCAACAAGCTTTTCATACATGGTCAGCTGAAACCAGTTCTGCACAGATCCCATAGGAGAGCACAATGGCAATATTTCACATTATCATTGGCAAAAGGCAGGTAATCATCATGTAGCAGTTAACTGGAAAAAACACGTTTGACATATTATGAAGCAAAACTCAAATAACAGGTTTTGTAATTCATGCCAGCATGGAAGATTCCTATGTCCAGACACAAATAAATTGTTCAGACCAGCATATCAGCTTCAACTTCAGAACAGAATTGTTACTGTCTATCATTTGCTCCTACCTGTAGGCCATTTATTTTTTCCTCAAAGACAAGTCATTCATTGCTAAAACATGACTCAGACGAGAGTCACAAACAGCTAACTGCTCATTCTTTCCTCTAGCAACACCTGGATGTTTAGAGTTAACTCTTAGCTCCATAATAAAGTGCTCATTGACATATTAATAGCGCCAGCAATTTGCTGAAGACCACATATAAAAACAATAAACTAAATATGCTTCGAGACTGTTCTCTGGCACAAAAGATGAATCATTAATATTGAAAGGTTTGAGAAAAATATTTTTTTCCCTGTAAAATCCTGGGAAGATGTGTCAACTACTAGGGGCTTCCAACCTGTGTGATACCCAGCCTATTGAAAATGGTGTGTCCTCTTCTGGCTAAGTAGTCCAATGCTACCAGGCATGTAGATGCATGGCCTCACACAGAACTCACAACGATGGTATGGTAGGAAAAAAGAAAAAAAAAAAAAAAAGCTGTTGTCTGGTAGGAAGTAAGAAAGAATGACTTTGCTATGAGGCCTGTATAGACAGAATTTACTACATAGACAAACTTTTAAAGTTTGTAAACTATTTTACTTTTTTTTTACTCAGTCTCTTTGATAATCACTAAGGAAAAATTACATTTATTTGTAGGAAACAGGCTAGTTCTGTGGCTGCCTGGAGAAATAAAAGCACTTCATGCAATTAAGCTTCCCCCTGTGCAAGGTTATGTTTGCTTGAATGGGGCCATGAATGCCCTCCAGCCTAGGATCTTGACATGGACTGTTCCTTGTACACAGCTTACTTAAAACCTGAGATGGGAGGTCTAAGTGAGCACAGCAGGGACCCTGCAGCCATAGTGCTGCTCTAATTTGGCAGAACAAGGTAGCCTTGTACAACCCATCCACTAACAAAGTCATGGCCCTTTCCATCAACAGTGAATCAGCCTTAATGTCCCCAGTGACAGCTCTGAGAAAGTAATTTTCTTCTTTGCACTAGGTCAGAAGCAGATGTCTCACTTAAGCCTCATCATAGTGACAGGACCTGATGTTATGGCCTTTAAAACCCTTCTGAAAGATGGGTTTCCACACTGGTAATGCTGTGATTGCCCCATGGTGACAGGCTGTTTCAGTGGAGAGATAGTCCGGACATCCTTCACTAATAAGAAATCCGATTCTGAGCATCTTACTTTGAACTTTGCCTTCAAGGGTCAGGTCCTGAGTATTATTCACGTGCTCCACTTGGGATCATTGGCTAAAACTGAAGGCAGGATTTGCCCTGATATAGCTTTAAAACTGGCTCCTAATACTGCCCAGCTTGGTTCCAAGCAAGAAGTGTCAAGCAGAAGGAAATACTTACCTTGCCAACGTTTTATAGCATATTTTTATTAATGCAGCCCAGTGCAATGCTTGTTTTCCCAGACTGTTTTGCACTGTTGGTTCTCGGTCAATTAATTATCAGCCCTGAGCTCATAACACTCCCGTGGTTTCTCCAGCTAATGTGGTGGTATCACCTATTCCTGTCCTCCACTACTGCATCTAGTGAACATACACAGCTTTGCATTGGCTGTTTAATGCTCCTGTCTATATCTAAAGATTCTTTCTCCTATAGAAAGTAGGACTGGACTAAATACCAAAAGAAATCCATGACTGCCCACCCCCAAAAACTTATATTACGGATAGTAAAAAGCAAATTTTTAAATGTTAAGTTTTTGTTGCGTGTCAGCAGTTATTTCCCATTAAAAGTACCAATACTGGATCTAGTGTAGTGGGTTGAGGAATTTAACTGAAGGAAGATATAAAAAAATATTTCTGCCTGCCATGAGGCTGGTGGTGTTGGTGGAGATAGTCTCCGAAGAGAAATACACTCAGTTGCAACTGAGAAGAGAGGTGAGGAAAAAGGATCTCCTGCATCGTATCCCTAGAATATAGGAATCTTGGAATGAATTATTTCTGGGACCTGATCAGAGTTACTTACTTTTGACACTGATTTCAATGGTCGTATAATATGGAGCTAGAATAGACCCAGTGAATTCTCTCAAACCATTCGGAGCAGAAAAAAACCTCAGTGCTGATTGCAAAATGTTTTAAACTACATTTTTAGTTTTTCCAGTGAGAGGAAAGGGTTAATGGCTACTTACAGGCCTTCCTGGAATGTGAGGACATCAAGTTTCTGGTGCTCAGTGTAGAAGAATGCTTCTGAGAATCTCCTCACCTAAGGGAGAAATACACAAATTAAACCTCAGATCTGCAGAAAGGTGCCAGGTACAACCAGGGTAGTAACAGAGCAGTGATTGTCAGGACCACATTCCTTAGTATGCTCCATCTTTGTTGCACCACGCTGATGACATAAAAAAATTCTGCTTCATTTTCCCATTCCAGCACAAAGCAGCTGGCATTGTTGCGTATTTTGCTGGGAGGTAAGAAGCATCCCTTGACAGTAAATCAAGATTTACTTATGTGCATCTTCTGCCTACTTTTCTAAATGCTGTCAAATTACTATTCTTAAAATGGGGAATATTTCTTCCCTTCCCACCATGCAAACCTGTATCGCAGCAGTGGAATGAGTTACTAAATTCATAACTGATCATCTCTTCTATGGAAATATCCACATTGACTCCCAAGAGAGTAAAGGAAATCTTATATATCAGCCCAGGGGAGAATAAGCTCTATCACGGTAGAAACACATCTGTCTTTGTCATGATACTTACAGATGAGAGCTCTTCAAATCTCTTCATGGACAGTAGATCTGTTCAATGTTGGATAATCAATTACAAAAGAGCCACAGACCTGAGTGCCTGGCAGAGCACGGAGTGTGAAATAAGCTACAAAAAATTCAGTGCTGCTATCTGCCCTGGTATAAGCTTTGAGTTTAAATGAATCAAGCATAATATGCAATCAAATGTACTAAGCTGTTAAACTGCAGCCCATTCATTACTAATGATATTTGTAAAAGTGACCTGTGTTACAGTGTCAGAAAATGACAGCAAAAGCATATGTCATAGCATCTTGGCATCTGCCTAACTCCCAGCTGTGCTTTCAAAAATGTCTTTTTGTCTAGCATCAGTTCAAAATGACTGTATCTTAATAGTGTGACTTTTCATCTGGGCCTCTCAAACTATCTTCCAGAGTTGGGAAAGCATCATTACATGCACACAGTTTATATGGGAAGGAACTGAAGCACACAAAGACATTTAATTTGCCAGGGGTCAAGCAGGTAGTTGGTATCAGTCGAGGCTGGAACAAACCGCAGGCTGGGATTCACCTTGCGGGAGCTGGAAGCATAAAGAATTGGGTCCTTTGTCTGAAAGCCACCCAGGTCTTTTCAGAGTCAGGGGAGACCTAGTCAAATGAACCAGGGGAGTCTCACACACGCAGTCATCTCTTCCTCAATTTTATACCTTCTTTTTACAAGCTCAAATCATGCTCTTGGGGAGAGCAACCAGAGTTGTTCAAGTTGCTCTAGAGAGTAACTGGACCCGCACTGACTTTGACAGGAACCAGAACATAAACTGAGATGTCAATACTTACACTGTAGACTCCTAAAGCTAATCAAGGTGAATCTTCACCCTTTTCTTTATGTCCCTAATCTAATGATTAGATCAGACTATGAGTTCAGCTCAAGTGACGGGCTGAACTGAGGTCTGCTCAATAACAAAAAATGTACTAATGGAAGGCACAGCGCTTGCTGAACTGATCAGATAAGCAGATCTGACAAAGTTAGCTCAAAAGACAAGTGTTTTTGTGTCTTCTTTATTATCAAGTACAAGAAGCAATTTCCACTTGAACAATATTAATCACAGAATCACAGAATCACAGAAT